TTAAAAGATGCAATTACCATGGTTATAGCTAGATTTCTATCTTTGTAGTACTGTCCCTGTGGATCCAATTTGAGAGGTGAGAAGGTAAAAAGCAAAGGAAGAGCTCCTCATCTCTCTCTCACTCCCTGGACCCCAGAGTTAGAAAAGCGTCCCTGTCCTTTCAAAATTTATGCAGGAGGAAAAACAGAAAATTTAAAAATATATAGTTATAAATAGCACTTTGATACTGATTTCATTGTTTCTTCAAACTCTGCAAATTTTATTCTCAGGACTTTATTCAAACACATGTAATTACCTAAGCTAAGCAGTTTTTCATACCTTCAAAGCTCTTGCGTTATTGCACCTGTACGACGGCTTTATAATTCGGTAGTAATTGAACAGCAATTATTTTTCATGATGCATGTACATTTTTATATCAGATTGTTGGCAGATATTCTTTATGATGATGTCGTTTTCACTAATGAGGAAATTAGAGCGAGTTATCTCATAGAGTGAGATGTCTTTTTCTGACTCATTTCCTAGCTCTTAACATGGATTTTAGAAAGTTGTATTGTGAAGCTACATATACAAATGGGAACAATGTTATTTCTGAACCCACAGAATCCAGGGGCAGTGGTGAGCTGTTATATAAGTCTGGTGAGACCCTTCCTATCTTGTCCATGTGATAGACTCTGATATTAAACTTACATATGTATCTACCTATATATTTAGATTGTAAAAATTCCAAGAGAACAAAAATCAAACCTTCTAGGTTTTCACAGTGCTCTGCTCAAAGTGTGTGCTATGTGCCTGTGTGCTCAGTGGTGTCTGACTCTTTGCAACCCCATGGACTGTAGCCTCCCAGGCACTTCTTCCATGGCATTCTCCAGACAAGGATACTGGAGTGGTTTGCTGTGCCCTCCTCCAGGGGATCTTCCAGATCTAGAATCGAACCCATATCTCTTAATTCTCCTGCATTGGCAGGCAGGGTCTTTACCACTAGTGCCACCTGGAAACCTCATTTTGATAATTCTAGAGCACAGTATGAAGAGAAGGAGTGGTGAGAGATGAGCAAGATGGGGCAAGATTGTGGAGGGTCTTGTTTGATGATACAGAGCTTAGATTTTATGCTGAACTCATGAGAAAGCCATGAAGTTTTCTAGTTGTAGGTTGATGGAGTCAGAACTATATTTCTAAAGAGCCAGAAGGAGTATCCTTCCAGCATCAATGGGAAGAATGGCTAGGAGGCCATAGAAACTGGCTAGTGAAGACAAAACCTGGGAGATAAGTGATCACAGCCTATTTGTGGGTGTTTTAATGAGGGTGGAAGGCAGGGGTTAGTGATTCATGAAGGAGGAAAACATGACAAAAATTTCCGACTGATTTAAATACAGATGATAGGGAAGGGGAAATCAATCTTGACTCCCAGGTTTCTGACTAGAGAGACTTCATAGCACTATTTGCTGAGACACAGATGGGTGGGAGGGTTTTGAAGTAGGAGTATATGTGGGGATGAGGAACATCATGGACTCGGTTTTGATATGTTGCTTTTGAGAAGCCTGAGGAACATACTGAAATAGATGTCCAGAATATCTGTATCCGAAGTTGAGGAGACAACATGGACCAGAAATACAAATTGAGTCACGTGCTTACTGATGCTCAGTAGAACCATAAGAGTGGTTGAAGCCATTCAAAGAGGGTGAGGAGAGTAAAACAAAGGCGAAACAAGGCCTGGTGGAGGATTTCAATATATAAGTCAGAAAAAGAGTTGTGTTTGTGGGAATGCAGGATAGAAAAGGAGTGGTAGCCGGGGTGGGATTGCCCGGTAGATTTTGGAAGAACTGAATAGTCAAATAAAATGTATCTAAATAATTTAATAATAAATAAAGTATTGATATCTTTGGGCTTCCCAGGTGGTTCAGTGGTAAAGAATCCACCTGCCAATGCTGGAGACGCAGTTTCAATCCCTTGGTCAGGAAGATCCCTTGAAGGAGGAAATGGCAACCCATCCCAGTGTTCTAGCCTGGAAAATTCCATGGACAGAGGAGCCTGGAAGGCTACAGTCCATGGGGTCACAAAGAGTCAGACACGACTGAGCGACTGAGCACACACAAACACATTGATATCTTTGATGAGGGACCAATTTCACTGTCACACTAAATGCTGTACTGAACGTGTTTTCAAAGCGCTCAGAGCATGCTCCTGCATTCTTATGTAAGATGCCTGTATAAAAGGGGAGGATTAATCCCCCTGAGTTGAGGAGACTATCAGATAATATTTGAACTGACCATGAAGAAAATGGGAATCTGCCTTATGGAAAGGGTAAAAAAAGTGAATTCTATTTAAGGCAACAGTATGAACAAAATCCTGCAGCCTGGTAAACATAGAATATTTGGGTCCCTATGTGACTGGGTCCCTGTGTGACTGGGTCCTAATGGTCCCTCTTCTCTAGACCTCCAAGTTTCCACGTATGCACACCCGCCACCTATTGATCAAAATGACATAGAATCCAACTGGTAAGAGAGCTTCAGAAACAGTTTTCAGAGGTCAATCTCCAGTGATACAGAACAAAGTAAGCAAAAGGCCCAGAATGAACCTGAAAAAAAATAATGCTGGAAATGGATAGACAGAGGTAAAAGGGAATAAAGGAGTCTTAGGTATTTATGCCTATGGGCTTCCGCAGTGACTCAGCAGGTAAAAGACTCCTTGCAATGCAGGAGACACAGGTTCAGTCCCTGGAGCGGGAAGACAGCCTGGAGGAGGAAATGGCAATCCTTTCCAGTATTCTTGCCTGAAAAATCCCATGGAGAGAGGAGGAGCCCCGAGGCCTACAGTCCATGGGGTTGCAGAGTCAGACACAACTGAGCATACACTGATGCCTAACTGTACTCATTGTATGGAATGGGTCAGGGATACTGGACCCAGAGAGATTATGGAAGTCGACTGCATCCCCGCCTGACCCGGGTCCCCATACACATTTGGGTGAATGAATGACATTTAACTGGAGTGGAAGATACAGAAGAAAAAGCTTGTTTAGCTTGAATTTAGGTGTATGGTTGAAGTTCCCAAGAAATGTAAGGATATTCAGATATAGAAATTTGGACCTGGGACACAAGAATGTGAGCCATAATGAAGTTGACCTGGGAATCATCAATGTATAGATAATCATTAGAGCCAATAAAATAGATGAGTTCATAAGGGGTGTATAGCAAGATGAGAAGACCACCAAGGAAGGACTCAGTCCTGTGAGGACTTGACAGTTCTGGATTAGATTTGATAATATTTGTTTTTTTCACTCATCCTCCTAGATTCTGATGTCATTCTCTCCACAGTTATCTATGGTAAGTAGGTAAGTAAAATGGAAAATTGAGGTTATTCTAAATATTGGTAAGTATTTCAATATTTCTTTTTAAAAGAACATCTACCACTCAGAGGAAAAAAAGAATCTGGATTGTTTCACTCTTTATTTGCCTGCATTTTTACTCTTTTTAACAACACCATAAAAAAACCACACTGGTGATTTGGGTTGACTCATTTCTTTTTATCTTTTAATTTTCAAATTCCTTCTTTTTGGGATTTTCCTTATAGTCATACCCAATTAATCTGCTTTTTAAAAAAAAAATCTACTTTGTACCTTACTCTGGCCACCTCTACTGAGAGAAATCAGCAACTATTTCCTGAATCTCTTTGTGCTGTGCTGATGGTCTTCATTTAACACCCAGAGAGCACAGAACATTTAGCTGTTGCCTTCCCTTACATTTGCAATTCATACTCTGTGTCAATTCATGTGGTTGATATTATAAAAATCATTTTAAACCTAGTTTAACTTTTCTTTTTTAACGTTTGGCTTATTCATAATTTTATGAGCTATAAATTTTATTGCATTGTGAATTGCCTTTCCCATCTGCAGATAACTCTGAGGAAGTCCTTGGAGAAATTGCTTAGGATGTGGGAAAAAAATGAAAAGAAAGGGACTTCTGTTGTGATGTGGTGTTAGGCCAAAATGTATCCTTGAGTAGAAAATGACCTGGGGGGAAGGATTTGGGCTCTTTCTGTAAATTCAGTTTTATTTGAAGGGTTCACTCTACCTGAACAAGTAAATTCTGCCCACAACATGCAAAATGAACATGAAATTGGTTGCAATTGCATGGTTTACTGAAACAATAGTTCTAATGAATCCATATAAAGTCCTTCTGAGCAAAAATGTTCTTCAGCGTGATTATTCAGATACGCTGTCAATAAGAATGAAAATAAGGAGAACATGCAAAATTACTATTTTTCTTGTGAAATGCAGATGTAGTCTTGGTATGGATTAAATCTGGGATTATTATGGTCATACCAAAAGGAGAAGGGAGCGGCGGAGGATGAGATGGTTGGATAGCATCACCAACTCAATGGATATGAAGTTGAGCAAACTTCGGGAGATAGTGGAGGACAGAGAAGCCTGGCATGCCGCAGTCCACGGGGTCACAAAGAGTCAGACATGACTTAGCAGCTAAACAACAATGACAACAACCAAATATTTGTTGAATGTTTTAGGATTCCCACAACCACGTTTTATTATTAAGGCAAAGCTGAAATATGAAGAAGGAAAATTATTATGTTGATTATTTTCATGTTGGGTTTATTTATATTGACAAACACTAAATGACTGTAAGGATATTAAAGAACAGCTATAATGAGGTTCAAGTTCTTCTGGTTTGTTGATTAAGCACAAATATAGTTTTATTATTCAGTAGCTATTTAAAATTAGTATGTTTATATTTCCAATAATATGAAATATTTTCCTAGAGAGTTTGGAGAGGTGCACTATCAATGTGTTAAGAAGTAGAAGATACTGCATTTGAGTACTGTTTGTTGGAATTAAACTTCACTTTTAAAATTTTGCTGTCTGGAATACATATTTTTACTATATCCATGTATACCAAACATGTCCTCATGGAAGAGCCTTTTCCTCAGCCCTTTCCTCTGTCTAAATAGAATGCTTTTATCCCAGATAACCACATATCCATCTTCCTCACCTCCATCAAGACTTTCCTCAGTTACCATTTTCTCAGTTAGGCCTACACTGAGCTTCTTCTTTAAAATTGCTCACTGACCCCTCACTGGACAGGCTTCCCTGGGGGCTCAGTCTGCCTGCTAATGCAGGAGATGCAGCAGGTTGGATGCCTGAGTTGGGAAGATCCCCTGGAGGAGGACATGGCAACCCACTCCAGTATTCTTGCCCGGAGAATCCCATGGACAGAGGAGCCTGGTGGGCTACAGTCCACGGGGTCTCAAAGAGTCAGACACGACTGAGCACACACTCTACACTCTGGGGACCAGCTTGTCCTGCTTCGCCTGGAACTTCCCTTGTTTTAACACTGCACGTCCCGCATCCAAAAAACCTCCTCCTCTGGTACCCCTTACTCTGTCCAAGTTGTTAATTTATGTGTATGTATGTATGTATCCATCCATCTTCATATACACCACACACACATATATACATACACACACATACATACACACACTTATTTGAATGTTTCCCTATAGAAGAATTGTTTTACAGCAGCAGGACTTTTCACTGTCCCTCCCCACCCCCATCCCCACAGAAACATCCAAAGGCCTCAAAGTAGTGCTCAATAAATACTCATTAAATGAATGAAAAAGAATTATATGTCAAGGCAGGTTAGTAAAAATTAGAATAGAAAAGCCATGCCGATGTCCCACCTATCAAATTGGTGTTTTGATTTTTATCATTTTTCTCACTCATGCTGCTGCTGCTGCTGCTAAGTCACTTCAGTCATGCCTGACTCTGTGTGACCCCATAGAAGGCAACCCACCTGGTTCCTCTGTCCCTGGGATTCTCCAGACAAGAATACTGGAGTGGGTTGCCATTTCCTTCTCCATTCTCACTCATACTTACAGGTAAATGCTGCATGACTCAGATATTGCAAATGGCAGGAAAGGTGATGCCTTATACTGGTCATCTGGGCTTCCCTGGTGTCTCAGAGGTTAAAGCGTCTGCCTGCAACACGGGAGACCTGGGTTCGATCCCTGGGTTGGGAAGATCCCCTGGAGAAGGAAATAGCAACCCACTCCAGTATTCTTGCCTGGAGAATCCCATGGACGGAGGAGCCTGGTAGGCTACAGTCCACGGGGTCACAAAGAGTCGGACATGACTGAGCGACTTCACTACTCACTCACTGGTCATTTGGATGGGAAATTGAGATTTAAGTAATGAAAATGTTTATTCATATCAGAATTGTGCTGCTGGATGATAAGGTTGGATAGTAACTGTCAGCTGTGCCCGTTAGAGACAATGATAGAAAATAAAGAGGAGGCAATGGTGGGCCTGGAAGAGCATTCTAGAACTAACTTGGTATCTTTTTTTGAAAGAAGGCAAGGGTACAGGCAGATTTAGATTCAAATTCAGTCTACCAAAATGTGCATGGGTGCTTTTACATGTTGTATATAGATACATGTATCTAATGGGAAAAAAATCTCAAACCAAAGCCAAATATAATAGACCTGGTGCAGTGCTTAGTCACTCAGTCATGTCCAGCTCTTTGTGCCCCCATGGACTGTGGCCCACCAGGCTCCTCTGTGCATGGGATTCTCCAGGCAAGAATACTGGAGTGTGTTGCCATTTCCTTCTCCAAGGGATCTTCCCCACCCAGGAATGGAACTGGGGTCTCCTGCATTGCAGGTGGATTCTTTACCAGCTGAGCTACCAGGGAAGCCCATAATAGACCTGGATGTGTTATTAAATGACATTAAACCAATATCTCAAGTAGAAATGAGGATATTAGCCCAGGAAAATGGCACTGTTCACCAGAATCACTCAGGTACTCAGGATGAGTCCCTACAAGTCTTTATAATGGTTTCTTTCAGTCTATGCCCTGACTGATGGCTAAGTCTTATTACCTTCCATTATCCCTCCTTCTTCTTTTCCATTTAAGCTTCTGAGTTTGGCGATTTCTCTCCTCTTTCTTAGCTTGCATCCAATCAAACAACTGCACTTGTTTTATTTTCAGATATTTTTCAGCTTCTCTCCTCTTTTCTACCCTTAGTGTCCCTTATTTGCTGTTCCCTCATGATCCATTGCCATAATTATTGTAAAAGGCTCTCTCCACTTTAGTGATATTACAATTCCTTCTCTATCCAGCTGCCATAATCCTCTATCTACTGTGTCACTCTCCCGAATAAAGCACTTGCTCCTCGGGAAGACGTGGTGCTCACCATCCTCTGACCTCTGTTTTTCATTCTTCAGCAGCTCTTTCTACTTTGTCAACACCAAACTACCTATGCGTGTATGCTCAGTTGCTTCACTCATGTCTGACTCTGCAGCCCCATGGACTGTAGCCCACCCAGCTGCTCTGTCCATGGGATTCTCCAGGCAAGAATACTGGAGTGGGTTGCCATGCCCTCCTGCAGGGGAGTCTTCCCTATGTGGGGATCAAACCCTCAAACCCTCTCTCAAGTCTCTTGCATAGGCAAGCAAGTTCTTTACCACTAGTACTACCTGGGAAACCCACCAATATTTCCCACCACAACTCTGGCCTTAGTTTCTTTTGGCCCATGCTGTCTCTTCTTTCATGAATACTATCCCCTCTAGTTGGCTAAGTTTTATTCGTATTTCAAGATTTATGTCAGATTTCCTGCCCTCTCAGAAGCTGTACCCACATTTCAGTCCATGGAAGGTGACATGTCCTGTCTCTGTGCTGCTCCAACACTGTGCTTCAAAATATCACATTACCATTATCTATATTTAATCTCTTTTCCCCATTTTGTCCTTCCATCTCACAGATATGGATGAAGTCTTATTCCTTTTCAGATTGACAGCATTCAGCAAAGTACTTGGTGATGAAACAACTGCTTGTTGAAAGAGTGAATAAACAAATGAATGAATGCTTATATGACTTCACTGTTACCAGCACTGAATCGATGTTCACACTCAAGTCATTTACTGGTCAGCGAAGGACTTCCTTTCAACTCTTTTTCCAAGGTATCTCTTTTGTTTCTCTCATGGAGAATACTCTTTTCCTTCAACACCTGACAAATGAGTCACACCTCAGCTGTAATGAAATTTTCCTTCCACTGCCAATGCTCCGTTCCTGATGGAAGGATCCGTGTTAAAACTTTTTATTTTATTCCCTTCAGACTATTGTAATGGTCTTTTGGCTGGTGTCCCAGCACTTATAATTAACAGACTTCAGTTGGTATGAAATGTTGCTGCTGGAATCCAACCCAACACTGGATCAAATAAGCACATAACTCTGGTTTCCGTGTTGTCAAAATTAGAGATGGAAAATTATTATTAGTTCCACACAGACTCTGATCCTCTGGGGAGTTATGGCAAAATTGCTCCCCTCTGGTGTTTTGTCCACTGAGTTTAAGTGAATCAAGCAACAGGTTTTCTGCTATTTCCCTTGGGAGATTCTTTCACTGTCAAATAGAAGTGATTAAAAAAAAAAAGAAGGAGAAAAAGAGAAGGAAAAAAAACCTCTTCAACTTATATTAGGTTTTCTTGACTGTTTTCTTTCTAGCCTTTGCTCAGTGGAATTCCGAAGCATCTATACCTGATGGAGTGTTATCCTTTTGGCCGAGAGGTTTATTTTCTTCTGTGATGCTAGTTGAAGGCATTGCCTTTATAATGACCCATTTAATCCCAGTCACTTGGAAATGAGTTAAATACTACCTCCTTCACACAATCTAAATTGGTTTAACATCTTTCAGTGCAAGTTATTTGTGTAATTTCCTGCCCATGCTAATGTATACATCTCAATCTGACTACAAAGACTTCAGGTCTAAACAAATGATGTCAGGGGCCCAGGAGCGAATTACTGTATTGATCTATTAAATAGACCTAAAATGCTTGTTTGGATTTGGAAGTCACTTGCAATCAGTAGCATTTTAGTGAAAAGCTTAGACTGTGAATGACTTAGGAGGAGGAGGCAAAGCCACATTGTCTAACTACCCTAGGGACTGGTATTCCAACAAGTTTTCCCAAAGGCTTTCACTACTGACAGGCTTTGCTATGAGACATGATGTCAGTTTCTCCATTAAATGCATCCTTTTTATTAGATTATGGTATGAGGGAGGAAGAAAATTTCCTCCACCCTTCTCGGTTCTTCTAATTGGTCTAAGAATTAAATTGACATGAGACAGATTAACAGGAGAAAATCTGTCAAAAATTTAATAACATTTATACCTAAGAGGAACTTCCCAGGTGGCTCAGTGGTAAGGAATCTTCCTGCCAAACTGGAGATCTGTGGGTTTGATCTGTGGGTTGGGAAGATCCCCTGGGGAAGGAAATGGCAACCCACTCCAGTATTGTCTGAAAAATCCCATGGATAGAGGAGCCTGGAAGTCCAAAGGGTTGCTAACGGACACAACTTAGCGACTAGAAAACAACAAACAGCAGCAATACCTGAGAAAGGCTCAAGAAAACTGAGTAACTCATCAAAGAGGCAGAAGTGCTGAGTCACTCAGTCCTGTCCGACTCTTTGTAATCCTTTGGACTGCAGCCTGTAGGTTCCTCTCTGTCACTGGGATTTTTCAGAAAAGAATGTTGGAGTGGATTGCCATTTTTCTCTTCCAGGGGATCTTCCCGACTCAGGAATCAAACCCGTGTCTCCTGCACAGCAAGCAGATTCTTTACCCCAAAGCTTCACCATAAATACTATCTTCAGTTAAAGACAAACGAAGATGTTGGGAGTAATGGGATTTCAAAGGGAAGGAAGGCAATTTACATGGATATGGAAAAGTCAGCATTTGATAAACAAATGTTCCATGGGCCACTCAGAGGCTGTGGGACACAGAGAGGAATTTTAACAGACTTTGCTAGGTTCCTCCCTGTCTCCACACCAAGTTTATATTTTAGTGATCTAAGTGGATAGTCCTTTCCTGGAACGTGTCCTTTGCATTCTTTTAGGCACCTGGGGGGAAGGTCAACAGTTCTTGAGTCTTTTGGGTCTTAAAAATAATCAAATTAAAATTACACTTGATGCCAGAGCTATGCAATTTGGGGTGGCAAATTTTGCTCCCCTATAGTGAGTGGACATAGG